AAGGAAAATGGTGTTATTGCAAAGAATTATAAGATTAATTTTCAGTATTGATTATTTGTTGCAACTAGGGTGCAAATTTCAGGGACTTGCCTGGTGTACGTGTGCGAGAAGATAACAGGGTTGAATGGGACCCTAATGTAGATCGTGTGTATTTAGAATCAGGAAAGCCATTGGTAATGAAACTTTTGTTTTTATCCATTCATCAATTTTCCTATGACCTTTATTCTGTAATCTATAACGTGTGACCTGTATTTTTTTTCTTGAATTGTTGCCATAGGTACCAGATTATGCCATGTCCTTTATTAATGGTTCTTCATCCAAGTAATCCTTATGATGATATTGGATTTAGCCTTATGGTTCTTATTTTTGACTGAATGTAGAAAATTCCAGGTTTTCCAAAACATTGACGAAGATTTTTTTTTTTTTTCGGGTTTGCTTAGACCATTTGCAAGATTATGGTGGGATGAGACTATACCAACTGTTGTGACAAGAGCAGAGCCACATAATCAAGTATGCTGGCAGTACACAGTGTCCAGTTCAATTTCATGAATACTCAATTACCCTTAAAAAAGAAAAGGGGGGGGGGGGTTCTCTCTTTCGCCTTAGGAATGTTACAATGTAGAACTCTTTGTTTTCAATAGGCAATTCTACACCCGGAACAAGATAGGGTGCTGACAGTTCGTGAAAATGCAAGACTTCAAGGTTTCCCAGATTACTATCAACTCTATGGGCCCGTCAAAGAGAGGTGACTGTCTCGTGATATCTAAATCTGAATAATTCACTTGTTAAAAATTACCTGGCATTTGAATATTGTAACTGAAGTACCATAACAATGATGGAGAGCAAACCGTGTTGGTGTTGTTTTTAGGTACATTCAAGTCGGTAATGCAGTTGCAGTTCCTGTGGCACGAGCATTAGGATTCGCCTTAGGGCTTGCATTTCAAGGATCTGCAGGTGATGATGCTCTGTTTAAATTGCCTGATAAATACCCCAAAGTGAGGGAATCCATTACTTCTGAATCCTCAGAAGATCATGTTTAGAAGTGCTCCGCCAATGATTTCCCAGAATTTGGGAATTGATTCTTTCTGAATCATCAGAAGTTTAGATGTTCTTGTAATCCATGGGGATATGACAATGATTCTGTAATTTAGCTTCTAAATTTCTCATTTGAAGATGTTCTTCAATGTGACCTAATGTGTAACTTATTCATCTTCCGTGTATTGCTAAAAAAAATTGTACCGGAAACATTCTTCATTGTTCTCGAGTAGTGTTCAATTTATTATTTCTCTACTAGTGGTTACTATGGATTGTTTATTATTATAAAATGAAATAAAGTAAAAATAATATTGTCAAAAATAATAACATGTTTTTATAAAAAAAATAAAATTAAGATCATAAATACACAATGTGTATTGTGAAAATTAAGAGATTTACATTTTGCTTTCTGTATTTGGAGGATAATTAATCTCTATCGTCAGTAGAAAACTTTTATTCTTAGTCATCAGAGAAAGCTTTTATTCTTACAAAAAAAAAAAAAAAGTCTTTCCAGATAAAGCTAGTCAAGAGGTTGCCAGGAAAACGGAATTAGAATTTCGTCAGACCGGGATGGAACAGGACTTTGGATCTTCACCATGAATTGAGTCAACTTGTCTTGGCTTAAGAGTGATTTTCACCTAAAAGGCGGTATATAAAAGTCATGATTTTGATTGGAACAATTTCAACTGCTATCCACACACCCTTACTTTAGAATTTAAACTTTTGAGGCTTAGGGTGCATTGCAGGTCCTGAAGGAGACGTGATAGACGCAGACATACAATACGATGGTTTTAGATTTTTGTTGCTTCTCAAGCTAAGGATCGCATGTTGCAAGAAACAGAGCACCAAAGCAGCAAGATGTCCTGTCATGCACAGTATCAACGATGGAGGAAACACAGTACCTACATGTTAGTTAGTGTTAAGATTTTAATCAATGGTAAAGAATTCAACTTTAGATGGGAGGAAGGTATAAAGAGTGAAATTCCCTGTGCAATAATTGTGAAGTAGTCACTGTCAAGGAGAGAGAGCATGGTAGAAAAAGATGATCCCCACAGGACCCCACCTGTTTGCATGCAGCAAGTGGTGTTGCTTTTTGGGGTCATCATATATTCACGTACAATTCAAGTTGGTCCCTGCCTTGTTGCTTCCTTTTCAACCGAAATTTACTTGGGATTTCAAACTCGATCGAAACAAAGTCTTTAGTATTTGCCTCTCTTCATTTGAAGACCGTGGGGTTTGAAGTGAAGACAAGACTGGCAGGTAGGTGAAGATGGATAGTTATAAGACAATTTTAAAATCAACATTGATTTTAAATATAAGACAAAGATGTAGCGATTAAATTTTTTTTTAATATTTTTCCTACTCGATTGCATTAAGTTATAGTTTTTAGACACATTTTATTATGATAATTAATTTTATGAGAAGTAAAGTTAAAAAATCAAACATTTTTATTACAAATTTAAGAATAGTAACTATTGTTTGGTAAAGGTTAAGTTTTGATTATAACTGAGACAAGAGGAGCGGATGGATAAGAGGAGAAGGAAATGGGAAGAGGGGCCACGTGAGTAGTATCCCATGAGAAGAAGGAAAGCAAATAGCTGGCAAGAGCCGACGCTACATTAGGTGGCGAAACTTTTTGTTGGTCTCTTCTTATATATATATGTGTGTGTGTGTGTGTGTGAAAGTAGAAGGGAAAAAAAGAGATAGAAAAAAGTCCCCGTTTGGTTACACGATGATGATATAGAATGGAGTAAATTGAAAAAATTGAAGCAAAGATAATATAAATCACTCTTTTTTTATGATAAGTATAATAAAATTTATTAATATATATTATAAATGTGAGAATTATTACATCTTATAAAAATTTCATAAGTTATAATTTTTAACCTTATGAACTAAATTATTTCTCCATCTCATGAATATACTTATAAATTTTTTTAATTATCTTATTTTTATTTTTGCAATCCATTCTATTTTTTTTAATAAGCAAACGAGAGTTATGTTTAATATGTATGTGGAGGCGAGTATTTTTTTTTTTGGAAGAAAGTAGGGGAGGGAGGGAGTTTTATAGGTATTGGGGTGGGGTTAACTTTTACCAATTTTGATGTAACTGGATTCTCCAAAATGATGAAATTCATTATATAGTGGTTAATTTGTCCGAATCAAAATATAAAACATTAGTAATTAATTTATAATTTTTAAAAAATGTTATTGAAACTTTAATTTTTTAAAAAATTTACTTCTTTTCAATTTTACCTTTATTAAATGCTCTATATAAGTTCTTTAATGATGATAATTAAAATTTAATGTATTGTTTTTTTCAAAAAGAGTAACAAATGAAGTAAGGGTATATGAAAAAGAATTATAAGTTACCCAATGCTCTATATTTTAGACTAAGTAAAAATTTTAAAAAATGCTTAATATTATATAGTTTGGAGGAAGTACATTTTAAGCATTTGAATTTTCATGTCACCACAACAGAAGAATATTGTAAGAAAAATCACATTTACCGATTAAATTCTACAAGTATTGTATGTGGAAAAAAAATCTAAAAGTTGCAGTACTTCCAAAGACAACCAAAAAAAAAAAAAACTGTCATTGAAATTTGAGAGCCTACTATACAATTTTTTTTTAATGTAAAAAGCATTATCATCTTTTGAGAAAGTTATAGCTTCAATGTTTTTCCTGAAATTTAGTAGTTAACCAATTGATTTGTTAGAATTTTAGAATAAGTTTTTAATTTTAAATCCGTGGATACTTTTAAAATTCTTCTAATTTAATTAGTTTTTATCAAGTCTAAGTGCATAGATGTTAAATATTTATCTAAAATGGAAATGATACCCAACACAAGACACAAGATGTTGCAACCAGGGAAAAAGAAAAAAGAAAATCCAGCATTAATGTTTGAAATTAGGAACAAAATGACAAGAGTATCTGGAATCTGGGGCAAGAAGATGCTTCCTCTAGGTCCCAACAAGCACATGGCCATTCCTTAAAAACCAGATTATGGTATCGGATCTTTCTTATACTCCATCATTATTGACTGTCACGTTCTGACTCTCTCTCTCCTCCCCCTTCCCTCCCGCTCTAAAATGTCCATTGCTCTGCTCTTTTCTTCCTTCAAACGGACACACCTAACATTCTACCTTCCTGACGTTCTATTCTAGCCAGTCAAGTGCTGCCGTTTCTCCATCTCATTCCCTTACTCATCTCCTGAAGCTCCTATTCTACTCAATAAATGTCCTCTCTTATAAATAATATTCTTTTTGTATCAAAGTACTGAAAACCAGGCTTATTATTAACGTCAATCAGTATGCTGGTTTAATAGTTAACTGATCAACTAGTTGGGTTAATCCGGCCTTCGTTAATATGATTAGTCTCAATAAACATAGCCATGTCTATCATTTTCCAGTGAGACTCGTCATAATTTTGTTATGCTAACAAGTAAAAACAAAGGTTTAAACTTTAAACAGAGCATGAATCAAATGCGATAATCAGGATGACAGCTGAGAACAAGAGAGAAGGGAGAGAGAGAGAGAGGGGGGAATTAGGCTAGAAGAAGTGATGATTGAGGGAGGCATTTGCCAAACAGACAGAAGGCATGTGCAAGGCTGTCCGTAGCCCCAATCCTAACACCGAATTTGCGAAGAGCCATTATTATTTTAATTATTTATTTATTCATTGGCAGAAAATGAAATATTCAGATCCTCCAAAAAAAGCTTCTTTTCATTATCGAATCCCCACGGGACACCTTACTCTCTCCCATTGTTAGCGTCCTTTCCCTCCGCATTACATAACCACCAATCCAAACGGTCTCCGATTGTTACTTTTGGAGCCTCATCACTTTATTTTCATTACATAATAATTTGCTCATTCTCAAACCGAGTTTCTCTCACTAACTTTCTGCTATTAGAAATTACACAATTTATTTTTAAATTATTCTTATATATTTTACTTTTAGATTTAATTTTAACGAGGGAGAGAAATTGTGCGGTCAAGTCGGAGAGACAGTGTTTCGGAATATAAAATAAGGCGGTCTCTCTCTCGCTCAATCTCTTTCCATTTCCAAACACTCTTCTTCGTTCTCTCCCGCTTGCGCATCTCAAATGCTGTGCAAGGTCATCTGAGAGCGACGGAGGGAGAGAAACCTTCACGCCTTCCCTCTGGCTGACACCTCACGATTCCGCCATTTCAGTTTCATTCCCCCAAGCAACTGCATTCTCGTAATCTTTTATACATATACATATACATTATATATATATATATATATATATTTTGGGGGTTCAAGTGGAGAAAGACTGAGAGAGAAGGGTCACAATGCCTTCCTTTGGGCCTTTCGATTTGTTTCTCTTCTCTCTCAGCAGAGGCTTGTGCAGTCCGGTCGCTGTTTTCTTTCAGATCCAGGTTACGTTTTTCCTCTCGTTTTGTTTTTTCTTTTCTGGCTTCTCTCGATCCTGGTTCCTTTATTTGTGCTCAAATGTATCTACTGTAAGTTTTAATTCCGAGGAATCATTTTAACAAATGAGCTTAAGTCCTTCCTTTGGGATGGGATTCAGCTGAGCTGGAGTAATTTTTCCTAATTATATGATTTTTTTTTAAAAGAATGGTTGTTGTCTGTTGTCTCCTGGGCTTGTTGATGCTGAAAGCCCTTGAATGAAAATTTATTATTTCTTTTTTGCTAAATAGTTTCTTCGCTATTCAGAACTCGATAGTTTGCTTGTGTTTTGTTTTATGACGATCGCGGGTTTTGGGAGACGTATGCACACTGTCTCAGTGGCAAGTACAACTTTGGCTTCACGTTCGATAGCGATTCATTCTGGTTGCGAGAGATGATTATCTTTTGGATGAGAAAATTTAGTCTGGGGCATTTGCAAATTGCCTGGAACATAAGTTTTTCCTGAAAAGTGATGTCAATTGTGCTACTGCCGTAAAGAGGATCGAATGTTTTCGCTTTGGCTCTATAAGTGCTGCCCTTATTCTAAACGTAAAGTTTGTCTTCGTTATGTATACAATCTCTACTTCCTCCGAGGAATTTGTTTTGCATTTTTGTGATTACGTGTTTAAATTTGGTCCTCCAATATAGTGTGGTTAGGGTATCGGCTTGCAGACGTTTCTCCCTGTATGCAATGTTCACATACGATTTTAAATTCTGATATTGTGCTTGCCGGAAAGTGCTGATCAATATGGGCATTTCAGACTGCCTTTGTGCCTGATGTGGCTCCAGAAACTACTGCAACGGCAATATCAGTGTTGCAATTATAGCTTGGAGCGCAGCTTATAAATTTCTCAAATTTCAGATCCATGATCCTCAAAGTTGAGAGTTCTGTTTGTCTTAACGCCTGATGAAGAGAATAATACACTTCATGTCTAGCAAAATATTGGAGATGGGAAGTTCCACTTGTGATTCTGAGGGAATTTTTTTAAATTAACTGCTACTCTTCTGAGGCTTAGGGATGTCAAGCTGCTGGCTGTCAATATAGTAGGATGGTTTAGTCATTCTGGCTGAGGAATGGAAGGTGAAGTGACAACCAGCTTCTGTGGACTGTATGTCACTCTTCAGGATGCATAGGTGGCTTCACTGATCTAATGTGGTGCCACGCATGAATGCTGTGCATCCCATTGTAAATGTTGCCAGTTTCCTAATAAGAAAGGATTCCACTATAGCATATTAACATTGCTGTTGGGATCGCTTTAGCCCTGAAGTGCTTGTATTTCCTGTGTAATGTTGTTTCTAAGGGTTCATGTAGAGTGTAAGGACTCGTAAAACAACTTTTGAAAATGCCACTTATTGAATGAAATGGAATTAGCAGTGGCAAATTCAGCTTCTGATACAGACTTTATCATTGTATATTACCACCATCGATGGTATGGTAATGTAACTTTCACCATTCAGTTGCATCCTTGCATGATAATTGTTTAAATGAGGATAAGGTGGCATGAGAGTTTTAATTTTATTTCTCCCCCTTCGTTGCTCAAAATATATACCATGACAGCATGTCACTCAATCCTAAGTTTAATGTCTCCTCTTCAGGGATGTGTAATTTGCTTAGTCCTTGCTATTGGGTGGGCTTTTGCTTCTTATGTCAGGTACCTATTTTCATTGATGTAAAACAAAGTTAAGGATCAAATTTTAATTAGATATGAATGAGATCTTTAAAGTATCTGTTTTTATTCTTACAGGAACAGAGAGATAAAACAAATGAAGGATTGTATGCAGAAAAAGAACAGCTTTGCTTTCCTTTACCATGACATAAATCAACTCGAGCACTCTAATCAAGTCAATCTGCCAAGGGTGACAGTGATTATGCCCCTAAAAGGGTTTGGTGAACACAATTTACATAATTGGAGAAGCCAGGTGAGAATTTATAAAACTTGCCCCTCTGGAACTTTATGAAAAAACCTTATTTTAGCCTTTTGGGTATTTATGTGTGCTTTATTGGTTCTTTACCAACACCAAGTTATGGCTTGACATCTAAGTGAATCCTATATTTGTTTTTTCTTTTTACATCCCTTTTTGTTCTCTCAGTTTTTTTCTTACTTTTAGAAAAATCCACTATATTCTTTCAAATTATTTTTGATCTATAACATTTAGTTGTTAATTGTGGTGTTCGAATATATTTTTGATCCAATACTTGAGGTATGGTTGTCATCCAATGTTATAGCATCTTTATGACTTATTTTTAAGCCTCTCCTTTAATAGAAAAGTTATGTTCAACGTAGTTATGCTCTTTTACAAATGCAGATAACATCTCTTTATGGTGGCCCTCTAGAATTTCTTTTTGTGGTAGAAAGTACAGAGGATCCTGCTTATCATGCTGTGTCGCGACTAATATCAGAATTTGAGGTATAAACTGATCATTGCTTTCTTCTCAAAATTTTCCTCGTAAATCTTAGTAAAAAAATTGATGTTCTGCTATCTTTTGTATAACTTTGAGGATGGGTTCTGTCCCCTTGGCATCTCACCAATATTCTCTCCCTTGGCATTTCTGGAAGAGTAGAACTTTGAGGATGAGTCCTGTCCCCTTTTGTATCTTTGCAGTTCTCTATTGCTGTTTTAAGCCTTCTTTTCTGGTTTGCTTAAACTTAAACATACTCCTGTCGGTTACTCTTCAACTTGGATATGAGATGCCTGTTAATTGTGTTCAGGATCACGTTGATGCTAAGATTGTTGTAGCTGGTTTGTCAACAACTTGCAGTCAGAAAATTCACAATCAATTGGTATGTACTACTTTATTTACAATTTAGTAGTCTTCTTGAGTGCGAATTAGGGCCTTGCCATATAGGGATCTTTAGTCTTGCCACCCTACATATAATTAGTGTCCATATTTATGCACATGAAAAACATGATTTGTTTTAGTTTTTTTCATTGACTAATTATTGCAAAATATTTTCCCTTTATATACTTGGCAAATGCATGTTTAAATGAGTAGTCATAGATTTTTGCTCACTGCTGGAAAATGATGGGCTATTTTTCTTTTCAAGTGAACTATGTCAGAATTGTTTCATCAATCATGTTAATAATTCATACTGTCTGCATACGGACAGGTTGGAGTGGAGACAATGCATAAAGACAGCAAGTATGTATTGTTTTTGGATGATGATGTTAGGCTGCATCCTGGGTCTATAGGAGCACTCACTATTGAGATGGAAAAGAACCCTGAGGTATAAAACCTAACCCTGAGGTATAAAACCTTTTTTGTTGTTGCCATTTTGGTCTTTATTTTTGGTGTCTGATTGTGTTCAAAACTGTTTTGATTTCCGACAGATATTTATTCAAACTGGATACCCTCTTGACTTGCCATCTGGAAGCCTAGGAAGTTACTGCATCTATGAATACCATATGGTACACCACTGACACTTGCTGTATATATCTACACTCTGCAGCATCTATGCATAAGATCTTCTTCTTTTATTTGCCTTTTGTCCAAGCCTGTTGGTGGTTCAATATAAATGAAGTTTTGCTAAACAAATTTTTCTGTGGTCTTTAGATTATTGGATGCTTCATCTGTATGCTAGTAGCAGGTTGTTATGATAATGAGTTTTTAAGGGATGGGCATGAGATTTTTTTCAATATGGTTGCTAATATTATTATATGTAATATACTCATTCAACTTTTTTCTTTTTAATTAACAGCCTTGTTCAATGGGCTTTGCCACTGGTGGAAAAACATTCTTTCTATGGGGAGGGTGCATGATGGCAAGTAACTTCTACAATTTTTACAAAATTTGGGTGTTGCCTAAATGAACTTGCGTTCTAACTATGTAGATTGCCTGCAGATGCATGCTGATGACTTTAGACTAGACAGATATGGTGTAGTTTCAGGACTTAGAGATGGTGGATATTCTGATGATATGACTCTTGCAGCTATAGCTGGTATATCCTTCATTCTGTTTTCAGAAGTTGTCTTAAAAACTTATATCATTATATCATGCAACTATATCAGTATTGTGCATTGAAATCAGTGATTTAAGGAAGCTTTTTAGCTTCTTATGGTTCACTTAGATAGTAAAGATGTGGTGGGGGCAGAGGTCTAGGATTAAATTCTTCTGATGTAACCAAAAAATAGATGGCTTTTATCGTATGATTTTAGTGTCTAAGAGAATCCGGCTTGTTCTTGCATGCTGTTTATCAGTGGCGGAACCTTGTTGTAGTGACACCCCCTTACTTTGGGAAAACTTACAAGTAGTGCATGTAAATTTTACAATTTTGTACTCCATAGACTAAAAAAAAATATTTGGGCTTAAAAGTTTATTAGATATGTAATATTTTAATGATTGAGATAAGATATGAAGAACATATTTACGTAAAAGACTATATCAATTTGTTCAATATAATTTTTCAAAAGGAAAAAGGTGATCAATCTACTTATGTTATTACAGTTTTAGTCCTAGTGTAATTATTATTATTCTTTAAAAATATTAGTTTTTAAATTAAATTATCTTGTAACCCTTGGCTCATAGTCTTGGCTCTACTACTGCTGATTATACACGCACATTTTGCAGAAAACTTATTGACGTGGGACAGGTAGGAAATAAAGGAGGGAGAAGCATAAGAAGTGAGAGATAGAAATAAAGGAGGGAGAATTAGAGAGGAGGAGGGAGAGGATAGAGTGAATGCAAATTCTCAAAATTATATTCTGAAGGCAAGAAGTTCTAACAATGGAGGAAACCCTAGGGCTATTTATAGAGCCTTAGGTGCAATTATTTAAAATAAATAGTAATTAAGCTTATCCTATGTAGTACTCTTTCCATCCCAAATTAGAGGACACTTTTAGATAAAATCACATATATCAATAAAACTCATTAAATGCACTTTACACCTTTACTTTTTCAAGACAAAAATATAAATTTTCAAAGATGCTTTTCATTTAATACTCTATTTGTGAAAAAATATTAAAAAGAGAGAATATATAGGAAGGGTAATATTGGAAAAGCGTCATTAATGAAACTTTATTTTTGTCAAAGTGTCTTATATTTTGAGACATCAAATCTCTCTCAAAAGTGTCTTATAATTTGGGATGAAGGTAATATAATCTAAATCCTACTTCAAAATAAATTAAAATTTTAACCTTTTAGATTAAATATAATCAATAAATCAGTTAAATTAAGTTCTAGGTTTTTCCAAGGACTAGCATAGGTCTTCCATTCACTATCACTTATTTTTCTTTGATACTCTCTCCAATAAATTAATTGTTTAAAGCTAGTCCTTATTTATTATTTTCGTGTTTTATCACGCAGAGGTCCTTATATATGTTTTATTTTGTTTCTAGTTGTTTATTATGTTTTCTCTTTCAGGGGCTCACAAAAGGCTCATTACGTCTCCTCCAGTTGCTGTCTTTCCACACCCCCTTGCAAGTGATCTTAGTTTTGGAAGGTTTGTGATTATTGTTTAGAGTTGATGAAACTTTGGTCCCTCAAGTTTGCTTCAATTGTCAATTTGATTTTTAGAGTATAATTTTAACAATCAAGTTCCTCAAGTTTGCCTTAATTATTGATTTGATCCATTAAGTTTGCCTCCACTTCCAAGATGAAAAAATGGCGAAGGAGAACATGCACAATTATAGAAGACATAACCAGAGAAGGAGACTCACAATGATGAAAAAGCAGCTAGCGATAATTAGAGGCAATGGTGATGCCTTAGCAGAATAATTCCACTGCACAGTTCTAGCAGGGTTATTTTCTTTTCAAACTATAAGAACTAATTGTGTATGATTATAAATGTTAAGGATTTGATTGATAAAAATTAAATTTCAGGATCAAATTGATAATTGAGACAAATTTAAAGGACCAAAAGTTTTATTATCCCTATTGTTTGTTTTAAACAATATTTCAAACTATCTATTCCGTTTGGTCCAGTGGACAAACTGAGTGATGCTCTATGTTTGTGGGAAATTCCTTTGTATCTTGTTTGTTATAGTTGTATGTTTAATGTTTGGGTAAAAAATGTACAGGTACTGGAATTATTTGAGGAAACAGACTTTTGTTTTGGAGTCGTATACAACAAAAGTGAACTGGATGATGAACCGTGCACTATTTACTTCCCACTGCTATCTGTCATGGGGATTTGTAGCACCATATGTTATGGCAACAATTCATGTTGTGGCAGCACTTAGATCTCATGTTAAAGGATACTCACTCGAAGAAGTGACTCACACTTCTGTTGGTGAGCCCACTACTTTTGCAGTCTAGATAGTTATTAATTTGATTTAATGTAGCCAGAGTCAGTATTCTGATGCCGAATGATGGTTACTATTGAACTATTGGCTAAATTGTGCATAACTGAGTTTATATATAGAAAACCTCTAGATTCCAATGTGGTTCATAATCCAATGTCATGAGTTCGTTGTTTATTTCACAAACAGGATGTGAATTGTTCGGCAATTATTTGTGCATGATGTAAAGTTTAGGGGGGTTATATGCACATAATGCAAGTTGAGGGGGTTATCTACACAAAAAAATAGCTTTTTGTAAGAGTTCAGCATTACTGACATATCACACTCCATTAGGATACGGTAGACTAATGTAAGGAAATTATTTGCACATTAAGTGTAAGGGAGGTCATTGCTAGTTTTGTATGTTGGAGGGTTATCTTCAAATGACTCAGAAGTTCGTAGAGATTTTGTATAATTAGCCTGACCTAGTCTGAGGCCTTATATTCACACGTACATACTGTTATGTAATATCAATTTTGTGGAACAATATCTATAGAAAAGGAGAGAGAAAAAAAGTCGTGTCAGCTATTATACTGTGAAGTATTGGGTGAATCATTTTGTTCCAACAATTCATTGACATCATATACACAATTTAATTTCAACTGTTACATCTCCCTATAGTTGCATTTGAACTTATACATTTTACGAAGGGCAGACAAGACTTGTAAAGGAGAAATTAAAAGTTGGAGAGATGCACTGTTAAGTTAAACTTTATGTTTTGAAGTTTACATTTTCGATCTCGTATTTTTGATGCATTTTCTATGCCCAGGGTTGTCACTGGTGAGCTTACAAGCCATATGCACTATAATAGAACTTCTTTCAATGTGGAATTTGACAAGGATAGAAGTTCAATTGTTGCAACATGTTGTCTCCAGAGGCACCCCAACTTTCGCTTGCTTCCTATAATTGGTTTCTCGTAAGAATATGCCAGATAACCAAAGGAAGTGAATTGTCTGATTACTGATTGTCGAAGTAATGAGTTTATTTTCCCCCAAAACGTAATTTTTTTTTTATCTACTGAGCAGTGTTCATTGCAATGCTGGTGGATAATTTTCTATATCCTATCTCTGCTGTTCGTTCTCATTTTTTCACAGTCTATCAATTGGTCTGGCATTTGGTATCATTTGAAAGATGGAAAAATAAGCAAGGTAAGTTTAAGTTTGTCAAGGCTCTTTTTAGTTCAGTAAACAATTTTTTTCCTGACTTGACTATTTTAGCAGACGCAGAATTGTATGATATTTAAGTGCTAGACTAGGTGTCATCGGGCTTGTCTAGCATGTAAGGGGTTTTAGGCCCAATCCTTCACTCTGCCATGTACCCAAAAGGAAAAATTCCACGTTTATTGATGAATAGCTTCAGACTATCCGTTGAGTTTATGCACTATTGCAGCACTGTTTCTGGACCGAAATGATTTTGCATATTGTGCAGATAGAAGAAACTGAAAGAAGCAAGGATATGGATCCGGTATTCACAGACTGGGAGGAAAACATTTATACGGCAAGAAAGGATTACCTGCTAGAGTGTCATTCCTCAGTTCTTTGTCCCGGAGTTTGGCACAGTGGCGTCAACCCAAAAAGTTTGATAACTAGGAAATGCTTCATTTTGTGTCTCTCCACTATTTTAGGTTTTGTGGGCAGCATGAGCTTAGAAAGTGTATGGGTGTTCGGTTGACCAATTGGTCATGTTTATTGTCTGATGCATTCATGATTTATTCATTGATTTTAAATGTGTTAGGAAATTCGAGATCCATTCCGTCCATCATTCTTCAACTCCATCCCCGTCCCATCAGGGTTCATCTTGTAATTGTAACGATTCAGTTCTCAATTTATACACAACTTTCACCTTGCACTAATATCCCAAGCATTTGTAGTACTTATAAAAAATTTTGGTTCTGGGGTATCCAAAACTAGCATTATCCCCTTGTGCGTTCTGCGAGAGGAACGAGAAAAAATAGGTGCTTAAGTGGTGATTTATGGAGAAATGAAGAGCTCAAGTGTGGTATGTCATGTACTCCCTCTAGTCCTCTATATGAGGCATCTTTTGGAAGCACAATTTTATTCACTTTATAAAATATTAGTTGATGGAATTGTTTTGTTTTAAATTGAAATTCCTAAAAACTATTGTTGAAAAGCAAGGAAAGAGAGATAGAAAAAATAATTATGTAATTTGTTTAGGTTTTTATTTGAGGGCTATATTTAAAATTTTACTTACTTTTATTTTTTATATTTTTATTGTATTAGTATTAATGAGGTTGGTAAAAAATGACTTATTAATAAGACCAGAGAAAGTGTAATTTATAAAAGGTTAATTGATAATTTGCTCTTAAATTATAAGTTTACGAGTATTTGATTTTAAACTTGTTTTTTGTATGATGTTTTCTTTTAATATCATAAAATGGTATAATATTGCTGTTATCATTAATAAATGTTAATTTTGATTGTTGGTTGATTAATTTTTTTTTGAAAAGGATCGAGAAATTTTGGTTGGTCATTTTTTTATAATGTCAATTTTTTGAATTAATTTTTTGGGGTTATTTTTTTTATTTTTTTATAAATTAGGGTCAAAGATGACTTTTATTAATAATAAAAGTAACATTATAATATTTTAAAAGTTGAACGAAAATTTTATATCAAAAATGAATTTAAGATTTTAACCATTTTTGTACTTGCAATTTAAATGTGGAATTAAATTTTATTTATGTATCAGTGCGTACAATATGCTCTTCTCACTTCTTAATTTTCAATCTTTCAATCCCTTTCACAAATAGAATAGGCAAATGTATCTTTTTAAATAAGAAAATAAGGAGGAAAAAAAAACCCCAAAGTCGTGTTAAAATTTAAGTATAAACTTGTTGATGGGTTGGATTTTGTTTTGGAATGAGGAAGGCCATAACAAAAGTCATGTGATTGACAACAATTATGTCAAGTCAAAATTAAATAATTTCTATATTTTAAATTAGCTCATTTAAAATTTTAATATTTAGGCTACTCCTAAGAGCTTGATGCATGAGCTAATTCACACAACTTTTGGCTTTTATAAATTTTGTTTAGAATTGATCATCAAGTTTTCATAATAAAGTTTCTAATTTTCATTATGGCTTTAAAGAAAGGGTGATTGTCATTGAAATCACTGCGAATGCGCTCGAAAGCTTTAAAAGAGTCAAAGTAAATATTATCTTAAAAAACTTGTTGTTTCAAGAAAGATTGAGCTCTTTAAGATAAATAAAAGTTTGATAGCTAATGGGTTGGATTTAAAAGTGGAAGGGGCTTGTAGACTTTTCTTTTGCCCCGCGCCAAGCACTTCAAAATATTCTATTTGCATGACAAGGTCAGACCAATCAAAAGAATTTTACATGCAGGATTCTTTAGGAAATTGTCAAAGAGACTGTTTCACTGCTTCATGGGTGTTGAATTTTTGTAGACACAAATGGCTTAATGAAGAAGCTACTTGGGGGGGCTCATTTGTGATAAAACAATTCTTGGACTAAGGGCTTCAGCAAAAGACCTAAAAACTTGCCTAAACATCAATCAAACTGATAGGAAATTGAAGGTTTTAAACTTTGCTGGAGTCAAGGGAGGAAAAAGGCCATCTTGTGTAGTGACTTCACGGAAGCTATTACCTCATTGTTAAACAACATAGGAATTATCCTTGGATCAATACGCTGAATAAGAGAGATTACCCCCTCCCCTTCTATTTATAAGGTAAATATGCATGATTTTTTCTTATTTATAAATTATGTCATTAAATGTTTATAATAAATTTTTCCTTCTAGAGAGAATTACTTGAGGTCCTACTCAATACAATTAATTATTCCTAAATCTATTGACAATCTCATAAGCTTAGTGTCAATGGATGTAATTAATTGTGTTAAATGAGACTTATATGTAATTCTTCCTTTCTTTTATTTTCATTTTATATAAGTAAAAAATATGTTATAATATGTGTGTGGTGTCACAGGGTCAAAAGTTGAAAACGGATTGAATTTTTAAACATTGTACTTAAATATTTACAGCTAGAAAAATTGAATTTTTAGACATTGTATTTAGTATATTTACAGCTAGAAATAAGCAATAAGTTGCTTTCTTCTGTTTTGAGGGGAAGAAAAGAAAAGAAAAGAAAGAAAAAGAAAACAACGATAAATTTCTCCCAAAAAAAAAAGAAAAAGAGAGAGATAAGTTTCTCAATAAAAATTAGTGTGAGAAATTCAAGCCCGTGTTTGGTACCTCAAAAAGGAAACGAAAAATGAGAAAAATTAGTGTTTTTTATGATCTGGTATGTTAAAAAAGAATGGACAGGAGAGAAAATTAAAGTGAGAGATGTAATGTCATTGAGCTTTCTGAAATTAAAAGCTCCCTATTCAAATAACTTTCTAATTTAAGGGTGATGGGAATTTATTTATTTTTGTTTAAATTATTTTTAATTTTATTTTATAAAAATTATTCAGTTAAATATTTTTTTTGGTAAAAAAATTTTCTTTTTTATTTTTGTGCATATGAACCATATTTTTCATATCTATTTTCATTCCCATCTCCATTGTGTTTGAATCTTTTATCTCAACCAAACACAGCTTGCACAAATTTTTAATTTTATTACACTTATATTATAATTTTTAATGCTAAAAAAAATTAAAAGCACAATTTTATATCAACATTTAAAAAATAACAAAAAAAAATAGTGAAATGTTTCTAACTTTGTTATTAATATGTTCTGATATATACTACCTTAATTAATTGTAATTTGATTACATTAAAATTATCGTTGACGAGTTGTGATTTTTTTATTGGATACAATTTTTTTTAATTGTTATCTAGATTTATAATATTATGATTATTGATATTTGATTTTATAGTCATTTGGATTTCCTTTGTTCAGTGCGCGCGCGCGCGTGCACACACACAACCCTACGTGCAGAACTTGTAGAAAGTACAAACTGTTTTCGCCAATTCGGCGACTGGCCATCGGAGACACAAGAAGTCGGGCATGATGGAGGAAGGGACGAAGCTAAGCATTTATAGGGCAGTGAGAACCATAAAGCGAAGAGATAATACTCTCTACAATGCATTGAGATCGATATACGAGGACTCCATTTTCGTAGGTGAGATCAATCAGCTATGGCCTGATCTCCCTCTTCTCGCCAACCTTCGTTGCGGTCTCTGGTACTTCCCTAGATTCCACTCCACCTGTTACTTCAAGTCCACTGATGGCCACACCAATAATTGGTCCTTCAACACCTCTCGTCTCAATCTCCATGTTGCTCACCTCGCAGGTACAACGCCCCTTTTTATCTCTTTCCCAGTACATTTTAATTAGATGCAAAACACTGCCAATGAAAAGAAAAAAGAAATTTTGGTATTCGAAATAGATGTAAGACTTTGCACTGAGCTTCAATCTGTCGAGAAAATTAGAAAAGGTTTCTCCCTTCCTCTTTACTTGAAGTTTGTATGCAAGTTGTTGCCAATTTTATAGTTCTTTCTTTCTTTTTGCACAAGTAATTTCTATACGCCGAGCTTGATGGAAATGTAGCATTTAATACACCTTTTCTTTTGCGGCCTAATGATTCGGGTAGGACAGAAGGGAGGTTGTTTCATTGTTGATTCCACCCGGAGGGGAAAGAGGTTTCCGGATAGCATGTCAAAAACAATACCTATGTGGGCATGTGTTTTGAATCGAGCGATCAGGGACTTCAGGAAGAAATTTCATGATGAAGATACTTCAACCAATGGGGTAAGTAGTTGTAACTCGGAACAATTAAATTAATGATTCTATTAGTACGTTATATTTCAAAAATACTGATCATATGCTATTTACCTTACACTTACGACTTGTTGTTACAAAATGGGAATGAGAAAGATAGTGGGAATGCAGAAACTCTCTCCCAGAACATGGAAAGCTTTCTTTCTAACTAAGCTATTTTGCCTTCTACAAACACAATAAAAATACTATTCCTCACCTTTTTCCCTTTCTTCAGATAACTGTTCCATGTACCAAACGCATTCTTAATACCTCTCACTACACTTGTTTCTATTGAATTATGGTGACACAGAGAGGTCTGTAAAAATTCTCGAGTGATTTTTATCGAACAAGTTACATGGGTATATATTCATGTAGGAGGGCGCAACCCTATGAGCTATTTAAGTAAACAAACAAAAAGATTTACGATGAAAGAGAAGGAATATATTGAATACATTGGATGCATTCTATTGCATGGAGCAATCTTCTTGGAAATGAAAATGAATTTCGTTGCACAATAATTTGGTTTAGTAAATAATAGTTTTGGAATCTTATCATGGATATTCACCTGTATGGTTATCTCTATGTTGTCCTTACAATTTCTTGTGTTTTACTGCCTTCATAAACAGGATTCAAGCGCTTATGATCAGCATCATGAGATTATGGGAGAGTTGTCCCTTGACTGGGATTGTTCCTTGCATCTTCCTCTGTGGGTTTCCGAAACTGAGAAATCTTCCATTGAGGAGCGCCTTGAAGAATGGACTGAAAGGTTGAAAGAAAGTCGAGCTGATATTGCTTCCCTTTCAGCATGCTTGAAGAAGCCCTTACGCCCTCTGTGGATTTCACAGAGAACTCTCATATGGATAAATGAAGTTCCCCACCATGATTCTTGGGATTTTACACCCATCATACTAGTGTCTGCGTCTTCCTCAACTGGCATAAGTCAGCATAGGACTACCTCTGAGTTTAGCTGGAGTTATATACCGGGTGCTGAGATGATGAAGAAAGTTGGGCAAGGGTTTATCTCCTAATCTTTTTTGGAATGATGTCTATGATATTATAAACTCTGGTCCTGATGTGTGTAATCAGAAAGTTTCAGATATAGTTGAGAAGAGCAGAGTATATCGTTCTTACAGAGGAGAGAATGCCCCTCAGATCACAGTCAAGTCTCTCAAACCATCCACTCTATCACATGATGAATTGTCTGTATCTTCTGATATTTCAAACATAAATTTTGATATGTCAAGGTCTTCTGATGAAGATTCTACAATATCTTGGCTAGGTTCAACCAATCTGTCTGTTGGAACTTCTCAACGTGGTATGCACAGTGAACTGATGTCCTTTTTGTGATTATCTAGTGCATGTTTTTGAAGGATTTGCAACATCCATGAAACTATTTTAATTGTACAGATTTTAGTTCAAGTGAATAGTGCTTCTCTTTTTGATTGGTTCATTTTTGTTTATTTTTGGTACAGCTGCAGAAGTGCCTGATGTTGATTGCATATTGAATTGTGATCATGAGTCCATTTCTGTCCCTCTTCGAGTTGAAGAAGCACATCTGCATCTTCCCATAGTTGTGAGTATAATGTGGAAGGAAAATTTGCTTCCGTTATTTCATAGGATGAACTTCTCTTATCTTAGTTTTCTGATGTCCAGAGTTCAAAATATGATCGGTTTTCCTTGATAAACAATCTTCCTTCTGCGATGAGCTTTGCAAAGTTGAATCTAAGTGAAGGGAAGAGACTTCTGGTTTGCTGTGCTAACGGTAAAGGCTCCTTCCCTACCTCCCTCCCTCTCGCACACACGCACGCACACACACACACACCACTCTCTCTCTCTCTCTCTCTTCTCACTCTCTCACTCACGATTGTTTAGCTATGTTAGATATATTAATGAATACGTTTTTGAGTCATTCTTAATCAGTCCATTCCTAACAGTTTAATTTGACAATTCAGTTACCTGAACAAGGATCTGTGCATAACCAGATTCAACATTGATGTTAGTTTGTTTAGGATTTGAGAACAACTAAGTCTTCCTTGATAATACTGCATATAAAATGTTGGATGTGTTTGTAATGAAATTGAGTGAGCATTCAGAATTTGAGATTAGCTTTTGGTACACTTCAACTTTGTATCTATTCTTAGGTTATCTTTTGAATGAATGACCTTCCTCTCTCATGCACAAGGTCTATGGATAAGCAAATTATTTTAATTTTGAGTCATTCTTAATCAGTCCATTCCTAACAGTTTAATTGACAATCAGTTACCTGAACAAGGATCTGTGCATAACCAGATTCAACATTGATTTTTAGTTTGTTTAGGATTTGAGAACAACTAAGTCCTTCCTTGATAATACTGCATATAAAATGTTGGATGTGTTTGTAATGAAATTGAGTGAGCATTCAGAATTTGAGATTAGCTTTTGGTACACTTCAACTTTGTATCTATTCTTAGGTTATCTTTTGAATGAATGACCTTCCTCTCTCATGCACAGGTCTATGGATAAGCAAATTATTTTAATCTCTAGCTATTCAACATTACCATTATTTCCTACTTACATCTTTTTTGTTGCTTTTCAGGGGAAGATATTAGTGTATGCGTTTGTTTAGCATTTTTACATCATTATTCAATGAGGAAGGTACATGTCTATGCTTTGCATTAGATACGGAAGATTAATTTTAAGCCCAGTTCTCATGTATAAAATCAACACTTTCGTGGATCTTATGGTTTTAAGAAATTCAAATATGTAAATTGATTGCATGATGAGAGAGTGAAAGAAGAATAAAACGAGAGAAGATGCTGATGTTTTTACTCCGTCTGAAAGATTTACTGTTCGATGTTTAGCAAGGGTCACCATATATGAAAAGCCAGTGATTTTTCTAGTCAACGATGGATAAACCAGGAAAAAGTATCACTGAATCACATGGTGACTCACGCCTTATAATGTCCCTAAAGCTAAATTTTCAAGTTTGTGCCCAACATAAAAATACAACATGCTTCAGTTTGAAAAGCACATGATTAAACTGTCTTTAGGTGCTTAACTTGGCCACTGGGCTCTGCCCTTGAAAATTCCCATGTTTACTTCATGCTGATTTGAGAATTATTGGATACATATACGATACGCGTATCAGTATCCGTGCAACTTAGTTTTGAATAATGCTTCCTCTGCTGTGACTATTGTTACTTTGGAAATAAATCCTGTAAATTATAGGCTTGAAAAATCTTATACCTGGTCTGTTCAGTTGTGTGGAAAGAAATCAGATAGAGACAACTTTCATCAGTTGGCATGATATTCTGCTGTAATTTACTCTAAAGCTTTTGGACCAGATTAAAATTTGAGTAAAACTTGAGCCCAAAAATGTAATTTAATCTTTTGATAAATAAGTAGTTTTTTTTAACCACATATTAAATGAAATTAAATTACACATATACTATAAGATTATGAAAATTCACTGAATGAATTTAAGGTAGATGCTTCATTGGCATTAATATTAGAGTTCTTATAATTACTAATCATCCCTTGTTTCTAAACTTTGACTCATTTTCCATGGCTAGGTAAGTATGATGGTGGAAAGTCTTTCAGTGAGACCCGTATCACCAAATTGGAGAGATGAGGCGGCGACTTGTGTATATCTGCAAGTTTGTAACAAATGCAAGACCTTCCAGGGGAAATTTGAGACAGGTTTTTAATTTCCTTGCCGGTCTCACTTCTCAACAACCATCAAATGACTGCAATTAGCCATTCCTTTTCAAGAGCTGTTAGTTTTAGCATGATGATGGCGGTCTATATTAGATTATGCAAAACTAGATCTTGTCTGAATTTAGAAGTTCTTGTTTATGACTCTTTAAACAGTGTAGCTTTCAATAATTTATATACAATGGCTCGTGTATTCTTTCTTTCACTTGAATATTGTTTCGTGTATTCCATACCTATTTGTATCTTTACCAGTTGCTAGGTGGCTATTGTAATAATCATACTGAGTTTTTATGCAACAAGTGAAATAATTTGAACTATAATTTGTCATTCAGGTATTCTTATTCATGTTTTGTAGGTCCAAAAAAAAAAAAAAAAGCTGTTGCGTTCGCATCTCTGTTCCTATTCTGTTCCCAATTCAATCCCTGACCGATAAAACTTTGTAATGGTGAATCTTTACATTACCTGACAACTAACTAGAGAAAGGGCTAAAAATCTGATCAGAGTGAAGAAGTTTTTAATAACCTATGCTTGCTTTGCCTTCCTGTAAAATCATATGGCTCAAGTGAAAGAACCATTCAATGCAATTATCTTAATCATACTTTATAGACCTGCTTTTGAAGTATCATGATGTGGCAAACAGTTTGGTAGTTTGAAAAAATGAAACCAAAAGTAAATAATGGATGTGGCTACGGTCAATTTCTTGTCAAAATCCCACTTCCCAACTTAATTTATATTATAGGTCGTCTCATATCTCTGCAGCAATATGTTAATGATCAGACACATTTTCTAATAGTGTTTGAAAGAGGGATTAAATTTTTAACCTTTGTTTACATTTTACCTCACTTTTAGGTAGCTGTGATCGACCAGCATCACCTTTTTGGAGTGATACTTTACTTATCATTGATATATTTAATTTTCAATAGCTGTTGAATATCATTAGCTAGCTGTCTGAGCATACGATTACTGTTTTCTGGCCAAAAAAATAAAATAAAATTACTGTTGATTTTCTAGCTGACCCATTTAACTATTTAGAATCTTGACACACCATTTGGCACCTGTATTAGATTATCTTAAACGTCGGCATTAGAATAAAGCCAATTAAAATTTGGTATGATTTGGTTTTCCCTTTAGATAATTTACCAAATCCCCAGTGTGAACACAGGGTGCAGTTTAACTAATTAAGCGGATGATTATTTCATGATTGGGGGCACATGTTTTACGTGAATTGGAAATAAAAAAATAAGAAAGAAAGAAAGTAAGTGGGGCTCCGTGAAATAAAACAATAAACAAATTGTGCACTCCAACCTTTAATGATGAAGGCAACCAAAATGCACCGCTAAGTAAAATGTTACGCCAACTTTTATCCTTAATTATATTTGAGCAAAATCTGTGATAATAATAACGTCCAGGTCCAGGAGAGACCTAATATAATATTACAAACAGAGCTATGTTCTAGCCGAAATTATCGAGTCCGATTGTTACTTTATTAAAATATATATACTGAAATATTAATCAGTCTATAATTTTATATCTACTGAAAAATTATTTTTTTTTAATCATGGGCACATGTATGTTACGTGGGATTTCATTTAAAGCTAGAAATTAGGAGAGGAAAACTCTTAAAGGACCAGGACTTAAATGGCCGGCTTTGTTAAGCTTAATCATGCTTTAGCATTCTATTTTTTAAAGCTCAATCCTATTCTTTTTTAGAGTCTAAGGGCTGGTCCTATGAGTCTAAGTCCTAATATTTTTTAAATTTAAAAAATTACAAAAAAATTATAATCCCAAAGAAATTATTACGCATAAGATTAATTAAACCTAGAAAAATAAATTTAAGTAAATCTATACCATAACATATATACAAAATTTAAACATCCAGATCAAATATAATACCAAATAGCAACATCATCAAAAATCAACACCAATGAAGTGAGCAACATCTTGATGATTGTCATTAGCCTAGGATTTTAGGCTTTTAAATGTATTTCTTAGTTTTACTTTGTTTCATTTTAACTGAAAATTAAAAAAAATAATAAAAACAAAAATAAGGCTTGAAAAACCATCCTTTTTATTTTTAGACTCATTAGGGATGATTCTTTTAAACTTGAAATTTCATTTTACATTCCCAACTAGCAGCTTGGCCCTCACTACAAAAATTATAAATAAGAATGATTTAGTATCATGAAATAGTTAAATTTACATTTAAAGACTACAGTCCTTCATTTATTTTGGCGCGACCGATGGTAATGGGGGCTGGCTATCTTTTGATAAAAATAATTTCACCATAACCTTTAATTTAGGATGTAGAGTGTGAAGTTATAATTAATTAATTTAAAACCTAAACATTGTGACTTCCAAAAAATAATTCTTCGAATTAACATGAATAGATTCGCTTGACAAAAGGGATTCAATAATAGTCTTACTATCACTCATGTTATGTGGGTTCAAATCAAAATTTGATGTTGATGCCATGCTTAATTAAACAAGAATAAAGTAGAAGAAGCGTTCACCAAAATAAAACAGAGAATAAAGTAAAAATAAATGCAAGAACTTGATTCATTTATTGTTTATTAAAAGCAAAAGCACGATTTTATACTAATTCTATATCAAATTAAAGAAAGAAAAGATGACTCAATTGACACGTGATTTACGCGGATCATGAACATCATAGATTCAGAGTGTGCAGAATATTAGAATTATTACCACATAGGATATGGGTCTAATTAAAAATTCAACAAATTGGACATCTTGTCCACAATCTTCATTTTACATATTGGGAAATCGACGGGTCAAAATTTGATCTGAAAACCTAAGTATATCTCATGCTAAACGTGTTAAATTTAGTCTAGTATCCATTCTAAATTAAAATATATATCAGTTATTTCATGGTGTAATCATCATAGTGCAAAAATATTAGCATACTATCTTCCATGGAATACATGGCTATCCAATAAACAGAGAGCTGTACTTGACAACATTAATTAGAAAAGCAAATCCCATAAATTATGGACATTTCCTGTACGTAAAATTTACTTTGAGACACGTATTTGTATGATCAAACACGTTGGCATGCTATCTAACTTTTAATTAATTATAGAAACAAAATTCTAATCATACGTAGAAGCTCAGTGACGTTTTATTCACATTGTACGTTCAAAAGGAGAAATATAGATAGGAAATAAAGGAATTATTGGGTCTGCGCATGCATGCAACTTTATTTGGTAAGACTTGTGAGGAAAAAAGAAGAATATGCTGTTTCTGATTATCTTCGTCCCTCCTTCTCTGAAACGTTAATAAATTAAAGCTCTTTCCGCCGAAAATGATATTCATGATCGTGTATAATGCAGACTGATCTAATTCACTTTTCAGACTTGATTGATTAATGTAATTGGTAGACAAGGGAAACTGAACCTAACAAAGTAACAAGTTTTTGACCCCTTCATTCCCACTACTGTAATATTCAATATGTTCTTGAAGTCCTTCCTTCAGGAGGAGCAGGAAAAATAGAACTTGGTGACTGACTGACCAATGAAAGAAAAAGCCTGAGGAATAAAAAAATAAATAAAGGAGAGATAGAAAGTATTATATAATGCAAGATAATAGTAGTCTTCATATATCGTTCATTAAAACCAGACAAACAGGTTTGATATGCATCTTCAAAGATCTCATTGAATAATGAAGCGCCATAGGGCAGCCCCACAACTTTAAGAACCCACACATAAATAAAGCTCTATTACTTAATTAATTAGACAGTGCTTTTTTAAAATGTGCTTCATTTTACTATGTATTCCACTTCAACAATAGTGTCACACGCGCCTGTCCGCTCATATATAAGCATGATGAGGACATCAACTCCTTCATCCGTTCTTGATTCAACACTTCCAAGCAGTTGATGAGTTTTGGGAGAAGTTGAAAGAAGCAACATATATGGGTTCATCAGAAAGGCAAGTGTTAGAGAAGGGTGGAAAAGATCAGAGATCTTCGAATAACTCTCTAGCCATAATTTTCAGATACAGTGATTGGATTGATGTGGTGCTCATGGTAGTGGGTGCTTTGGGTGCAATAGGAGATGGCATGTCCACCAACGTATTGCTCATATTTGTTAGCCGTATTATGAACAGCCTGGGTTATGGGAATAAACACCAAAATAGTGGGAACTTCATGGCTGAGGTCGAAAAGGTTGGCACATGTTGTAATGCTTAATTAGTGAGATATATATATATATATATATATATTACTTGTTTTCCTTTCTTAACTTGTTTATTTTGGCTTGGATCGTTGTTTACAGTGCAGTTTATATTTTGTCTACTTGGGATTAGCAGCCATGGTGGTGGCCTTCATGGGTAATTCCAAACCACCTCCTCCTCCTCCTCCCCCCTCTTCATCTTCTGGCTTCATATTTTCAGAAAAAGACTGGCTATATTTTCTAAAGATTTGATCTTGAGCAAGAAAAACAAAACCATAGGAACTATAATGTATGCAAGTCTGAGTAACTGCTGATGATTAATGCAGAAGGGTATTGCTGGAGCAAAACAGGCGAGAGGCAGGTGCTAAGAATTCGCTACAAGTATTTGGAGGCTGTGCTGAGACAAGAAGTGGGGTTATTTGATTCCCAAGAAGCAACCACCTCAGAAATCATCAATAGCATATCAAAGGACACTTCTCTCATCCAAGAGGTTCTGAGTGAAAAGGTAATCCATTCATTCATTCATGCATACATATTTTTCTCAGCTCTCCTTCTGGCTCTTATATCAACTTCATTCATTAACTGATCATCTACTGAATTTCTCATTTCATGTTTGGGATCTCAGGTACCCCTATTCTTTATGCACTCATCATCATTCATCTCAGGAGTTGCATTTTCTGCATACTTCTGTTGGAGGGTGACCTTAGCAGCATTCCCAACACTGCTCTTGCTGATTATTCCAGGAATGCTTTATGGCAAGTTTCTTATCTATTTGTCAAAGAAGTCTTATAAGGAGTATGGCAAAGCAAACAGCATAGTAGAACAGGCTCTAAGCTCTATTAAAACAATATATTCCTTCACTGCGGAGAAGAGAATCATCCAGAAGTACTCAGCTATACTGGATAAAACTTCAGAGCTAGGAATCAAGCATGGCCTAGCCAAGGGTCTTGCTGTAGGAAGTATGGGTCTCTCTTTTGCAATCTGGGCCTTTCTCTCTTGGCATGGAAGCCGTTTGGTTATGTACAGTGGTGAAAGCGGAGGAAGGGTCTATGCAGCTAGCATCACCTTCATTATGGCTGGGCTGTAAGTAGTTTCTTTCATCAGTACTCTTTTTAGTTGCTTCATACATGAAACATTTAATTTTTCAAAGTGTCTTTAAACTTCTTTATACATAAAATTTATTATACTCATAAGATATATCTTTACTAAATGTTTCCATTGATTTTGAGTCATGAAAATTCAAGAAATTAAATCTTATTAAAAAAAAAAATACTCACAAGACCAGCAGTAACTGGCTATAGCTTTATATTATATAACTACTAGTAGTTTTGTTATTGATATCCTCCCCGAATTTAGTGGGGTAAAGGAGATCTAAATTCGTTCAACTTCATGATTGATGTGCACTGTAAGACCAGAATCAAGTTGTTTATTATTTAACTGATCATTATCTTGACTAATGTGCATCCAAATTAAAGAAGATCCCGCTAACCCCACATCTTTTACTGCTCAAACATCGACCTTTGAAAACTCTCCAACACAACATGCTTTTGGCAGTGCGAAAGTAAAGAAGTGAAAATGAAATACAAGCCACCTAACTTTGTTTGAAAAAAAAAAAAATTGCCCTTTTTTTCACAAGAATGCTCTCTCAAACCTTCTCACAAAAGCATTTAGGCACTTGAGTAAGTTTACTGAAGTGAACTCGAGTTATAATTTGTGGGCGGAGCAACATGGTTGAGAGGTCGGGACAAATGTATCCTCTCATTTTGGGAGAAATTATAGATTTGGTGTGTAAATTTTAGTATTTTGTATTTATAACTTGAAATTTTGAGCTACTTCTTTTTAAATGTTAATATTTGCATCCCTATCTATAAGTTTTAAGATTTTGCACCCTTTCACATAAAAGTTTTGGGTCCGCCACAATTAAGTTATAATGCCAAGGGAAATTGATATACTTGAGAAGTTTTTGCCTTTTCAATATGTCTCAACCATGATATATTCTCCAATTATTTATATAGTGCGTTATAATCAAAGCAAAGCAAAGATTCTTCAAATCGATTATTAAAAAAAACATTTTAATTTTTTAGTTGTAAAGATTTATCATAGTTGGTAAAGCTTTTTTATAATAGTTTAGCCACAAAGTGCAATCAGCATAAAAACTCAACTTGTAATAAAGAAATGCTGTAATTCATTATTCACATGATCGCTGCAACAAATGTGACACATTTTTTCAATCACTTAAAACGACAAAAATATGTTGAAATGGGATGAACTGATAACTCGAGTCAAAGATATTCAATTATTATTAGCACACATAGGCGAAAAAAGTGAAATAATTAATTTACTGTTTGAATCAAAATATAAGACATTAATAATTAATTTATAATAAAAAATGTTACTTAAAACTTTCATTTTTTAAAAAAAAATTTGTATCTTTCTAATTTTATCCTTATTAAATATCTTATATAAATATTTTACTAATAATAATTAAAATTTTAATACATCATTTAAAATAAAGAGTAATAAATAAATTAAGAGTATAGTTTAAAAAAATAATTATAAAAATTATCTAATATTCTATATTTTGGACAAAATAAAACTTTTAGAAGGTAATATATTGTAGTTCGTATAATCGGGAAAGAAATCACAATGAACAATGCTATATTCAAAATCAGCTCTTATTCATTAGTAAATCATGCGCCGGCGACAATCTCTTCACTTGAGTTAGGAAAAGATGGAAACACAGCATGGTTTCAATTCACTGGTTTGACAATATGAGACCGCTAGCCCTTACAAACTTTTTCTGATGTTTAGCTTTTACATGAAGTTGTTCTTTGTAATTATGCTAATTGGTGAGCTGTAATGCAGATCCCTTGGGGTGGTGCTTCCTGACCTCAAGTACTTCACAGAAGCATCTGTTGCTGCTTCACGCATATTTGACGTGATTGATCGGATACCATCCATTGATGCTGAAGACACAAGAGGACTTGCATTAGAACGCATGAGTGGGAAGCTAGAATTTGAGCATGTCAAATTCACATACCCTTCTCGTCCAGAAACAGTTGTGCTGAGAGATTTCAATCTGAGAGTTGAAGCAGGGAAAACTGTTGCTTTGGTTGGTGCGAGTGGAAGCGGCAAATCCACAGCAATTGCATTATTGCAGAGGTTTTATGATGCCAATGAAGGTGTGGTGAGAATTGATGGTGAAGACATAAGAAGCTTACAGTTGAAATGGATAAGAGGGAAAATGGGGCTCGTCAGTCAAGAGCACGCACTGTTTGGAACATCTATCAAAGAAAATATCATGTTTGGGAAGCCAGATGCCACCATGGATGAAGTAATTGCTGCAACCACTGCCGCCAATGCTCATGACTTCATAAGGCAGCTTCCTGAAGGTTATGAGACAAAGGTAAGTTCAAGTCTCAGTTATTTTGCTGTCTCTAATGATATGTAAAATGAAAATAGATGAATTCACTGTCACTATATATCATCCTGAAAGCAACAATAATGTAATCACTGACAAAACTAAATGTAAACCAGATTGGAGAGAAGGGGGCACTTCTATCGGGTGGACAAAAGCAGAGAGTAGCCATTGCTAGAGCCATCATAAAGAATCCAGTAATTCTTCTACTTGATGAAGCAACCAGTGCTCTTGACTCTGAATCTGAATCACTGGTTCAGACTGCCCTTGATCAGGCTTCCATGGGAAGGACCACATTGGTAAGTACTTCAAACTACTTTAAAGTAATTCTTATTTATGGATTGTGAGTGAACCATCCAACTTTATTTGCACATCCCTTGTCTAATTTTACTTGCTAAACATGGACAGGTTGTTGCCCACAAGCTGTCAACTATCCGAACTGCAGACCTCATAGCAGTCGTCAATGGTGGTTGTGTCAATGAAACAGGCACCCATAATGAACTCATAAACCGACCAAATGGCCTCTATGCAAAACTAGCAAAACTACAGAGACAACTAAGCTGTGATGTCCAAGAACAAAATCCAGAAATGGGTATTTCTTCTGTCACAAGAAGCAGTGCTGGGAGACCAAGCACCGCCAGGTCAAGCCCTGTCATCTTCCTGAAGTCACCCATGCCTGATGACGCCCCTTCAAATCCTGTGTCTTACCCTCCACCATCGTTTTATCGTCTTCTTTCTTTGAATGCATCTGAATGGAAACAGGGACTAATTGGAACCCTCTCGGCTATAGCATCTGGCTCAGTTCAACCTATATATGCCTTCACCGTTGGGGGTGTGATCTCTGCATTTTACATTGAAAGCCATGAGGAAATGCGTCAAAAGATCAGGACATACTGTTTCATTTTCTCGATCCTCGCCCTTGCTTCTATCGTCGTCAATCTCATTCAGCACTACAATTTTGCTCATATGGGAGAGAAGTTAACGAAGAGGGTCAGATTGCGCATGCTAGAGAAGATCTTAACCTTCGAAACAGCATGGTTTGAGGAAGAACAAAACTCCAGTGGAGCCTTATGCTCAAGGTTGAGCAATGAGGCTTCCATGGTGAAGTCACTCGTCGCAGACCGAGTTTCTCTGCTGGTACAAACCACTTCTGCGGTCACAATCGCCATGATCATAGGGCTTGTGGTGGCATGGAAGCTCGCTCTTGTTATGATAGCAGTTCAACCACTCACAATTATCTGCTTCTACACACGAAAGGTGTTGCTCTCCGCACTCTCAACCAAATTCATCAAGGCTCAAAACCAGAGCACTCAAATTGCAGTGGAAGCAGTTTATAATCACAGAATCGTAACTTCATTTGAAAGCACCAGACTAGTGCTGAAGCTATTCGACAAGGCTCAGGAGGCACCGAGGAAGGAAGCGAGAAAGAAATCCTGGCTAGCCGGGATAGGAATGGGCTCAGCTCAGTGTCTAACTTTCATGTCCTGGGCTTTGGATTTCTGGTTCGGAGGCACGTTGGTCAAAAATAGTGAAATATCAGCAGGCGCTGTGTTCAAGACATTCTTTGTTTTGGTCAGCACCGGCAAAGTCATCGCCGACGCCGGAAGCATGACTTCTGACCTCGCCAAAACCTCCACAGCAGTCGCCTCTGTCTTCGAAATCCTCGACCGCAAATCACTAATCCCCAAGGTGTGTGCGCGCGCGCGCGCTCGTATATCTCAAGCCTCCATTTTTAACTTCATATGACGTTACAAACTCATTTTGGGTGTGACATGTCACTGCAGGCTGGGGATGGAGCTAGTGGGTGTAAGTTAGAAAAGATGGGTGGGAATATAATGATGAAAAATGTTGATTTCGCATATCCAACCAGAAGGGAGGCTCCAATTTTGAGACAGTTTTGCTTGGAGGTTAAAGCAGGAACGAGTATCGGACTAGTTGGGAAGAGTGGATGTGGAAAATCAACAGTGATAGCTCTGATTCAAAGGTTTTACGAAGCTGAAAGAGGGTATATCAAAGTAGATGGTGTGGACATAAGGGAATTAGACGTTCATTGGTACAGACAACACACAGCACTAGTAAGCCAAGAGCCTGTGATATACTCAGGCACAGTACGTGATAACATCTTGTTTGGGAAGCAAAACGCAACAGAGAATGAAGTGGTGGAGGCTGCCATGGCGGCAAATGCCCACGAGTTTATCTCGTAAGTCTTCTTTCTCCACTTTTTCAGAAAACTGGAAGAATCCAAAATGGGTATGTACGTAATTCAAAGGTTTCTTGCGATGCAGATCACTGAAGGATGGATATGAAACGGAATGCGGGGAGAGGGGAGTACAATTTTCAGGAGGACAGAAGCAGAGAATAGCGATTGCAAGAGCAATAATTAGGAGCCCAACAATACTACTGCTAGATGAAGCAACAAGTGCTTTAGACGTGCAATCAGAACAGATAGTGCAAGAAGCGCTTGATAGGATTATGGTTGGGAGGACTACCATTGTGGTGGCTCATAGGCTCAACACCATTAAGAACCTCGACTCAATTGCTTATCTTGCAGACGGGAAGGTTATAGAGCGAGGAACCTATGCGCGCCTAAGGCACATGAAAGGTGCCTTCTTCAATCTTTCTACCCATCAAACTTAGAGAAGTTACTAGCAGTAGCAGAGAAATCTGATTCAATTTATATGGCCAAATGGAAAGATTTTATTATGTACATATGTGGTTCGAGACGGAGTTATGAGCTGGAGGCAACTCTTTTTATTACAAAACACAACATGTAGGGGAATCCCATTCTTGTTCACTCTGGCCGTTGAGTAGTCTAAGGTGGCTCGATTTGGCGCAGCAACTGCACGTGAATTTATCGAAGTTATTACATTGAACTTTTGAAGTTGTATCACTGGTTATATGCAAAGAAGGATATAGAGAGACCTGAAAGTAAGGTTCAACATTGGCCTTGAGATTCTGCTGCTCTTGCTTCACCTGCTTATAAGCAGTTATTGTCCTGCATAGGCTCATGCCTATTCATATCAGTACACTGTAGCCATTTCAGTTTCAACAGGGAAATAAAATTAAGTGAAGTGGGGTCGTCATTGATCCTTACCCTTCCACGTCGTCGTCTTCCCAACTTTCCCTCATCTTGTCCACCTCATTCAGCATCTTGAGAGCTTCGAAACTACAAAAGTTAACACTTCGAATTGTCAAACCTATAGAACAGGTTACGTAACTCATTTTTATCTAACTGTAAATGTTCTTTGATTGAACCGTGTTGCTGAGGAAAAGAATTAAGATACCGACAACACTGTAAATCTTCTGTTTTTTTTTTTTTTTTTTTTTACTTCCTTTGAGTCGGTGAAGCAACCTGTCTATGCTATGCTTGTCTTTATATTCATGAAACCTGCAGGCACACAATCCTTGAATTACAATTTGATGTGATTAATAAACAGGACGGTACAACAATTTGAGATCAAAGTAAATATGGAGCTCACAAACTGTTGTCAAATTCATGGAGCTGTCTGTCATTGTCCTTAAAGAACAAGGCAAATATTTCCTGAACAAAGTGAGGACTGTCCAAGTCTTGCAGCTCCTCCAATTGTTGAAACTGTGGTCGACTCAAAAATCCCTGCACCATTTTCCACATTATTATTTCTTCTCTTGGAATTGTAATTTGGTATATGATAATTAATGCACGCCATGTAAATGAATATGTGAATAATCAATGTCAATATAAATGTAATTTAAAAGCTGATAAAACTTAACAGTGTTACGTACACTATTTATTAATCATGAATAATACTGTTTTAAGTCTTCAGTTTTTTACAACGTATGTGGGATCTGAATCTAGCGGTTTATTGTCCAATAGAAAATTCAATAAAGACTTCTCATTTCGAAGGGACATAGAGGATTATTCTGATTTAATTTGTATTACAGAGTTACAGTCATTAGAACCTTACTTTTCTCCTAATTTGTTTCCATATGTAGCACCTGGAAGAAGGAATTGGTGTTTGTGACAGGATTGTAAGTTCAGCTATAGCAAGACATATTCAATGCGGTAAAATATCTAATTATTTTAAGTTGGATGAGCTATTTAAAACTGAATAAAAAGGGAGGTGGGAGAGAGAAAAAACAAGGAGGAAGTGAAGTTTGTAGTCTCCAAACAGCTAAAAATAATAAACATGTTCCATTCATTTATGTCATTGATTGATGTCTATAGCATGCGATTTTTTAAAAGATCATTTTTGTAATACAATATGAAATTGCTTCTTTGTTACGATCCTTGTCAAATTTCAAAGGTAGTATTGAAATTGGCCTTCACCACACTTCCTGAAAAACAACCTAGCCTTGGTTAGTTAAAATCAGAAAAAATGAAAAAAAAAAAGTGAACAAATTCATAATAACAAAATAAGCAATATCAACATCAATTATTGAAGCTAAGAGATGAACCTCATCAAAGAAGGACTGTTTCATTAAAGCAAGTTTTTGTTGCAAAGGCTGCTGATTCTCCATTGTTGTGTGGCAAAATATGGTGACCCTAGAACATAATTTTATATGTGCAAAAAAAAAAAAAAGCAATTTAGGGTCAAACCTCATGCATCTGCATGCATTAATTATTCTTCCTAGGTTTAGATTGCAAAATCTAATACGAGGATGCTTTAAATCTTTCAATAATAATATGTAATACCGCGGCGCACATGATATTGTCAAAGTTGAAGGTGACGAACTCGATTTTATTTTAATAGTTTCTTGTTATATAAAATTTGAGTTTGATTTTTAATTATATTTTTATTTTTATTTTTTGTAATAATAATGATAAAGTATATATGAGTTTTATGATCAATCAAACAAGTTGCTTCACGCATTACACAAAGTTGAAAAATAATCTACATTATAAATAATACAACTTGTTTGCAAATTTGTTACCAATATTGATACATTGATATTTGATATCCAGAAAAATAAATTAAACTCCGATCCCTAGTTTGATGGGCTCATTTAGCTAAGAAGTCAAAATAAATAACAACTTAAATGTTAAAACTAAGTTTAGTTTTATTTTTTTAATTTTAATTCCACTGAAATTATTCACCTCATGTTGCACACCGATATAGTCTTCATATATGTATTAGAGGAATAAATGAAGCAATGTATCCATAGATTTAAAGCTCTAATAATTATGAAGATGCATAAATGGAGTGACAAACAACTTTGGACATGCAATAATACAAAATAGACATGTAATAATCAAAACAATTGTGGTTGTTAATAGTGTGCGTGTGTGTCACATAAGTGCAAACTTCTTAAAATTATATCTTGAAATAAATAACTCGAGATTCTCTTATGATCTATTTTAGTTATAAAACCACCCCGGAATCTAATGCATAAAAATAAGTAATTAAGAAAATAAGAGAACAATTAAAATGGCATATCCATGGTGAAATATATTTTGATCCCGAAAAGATGAAGATGACGACTACATGTCACTCTCATATTTTTTTTGTTTGTGATTCCTTCCATATGTATAATCTAAAAATTGAAGTTTAAATACATAAGAAAAACAGTAAATTTAAATTCCTTAATCCAAAAAACATCTCCGATATACTATTTCTTTTTGAAGTTCTCTGGTGCAACCTAGCTAGTATGAGTATTAGGATCCGTTTATTTAAGATTAAAAAATAAGTAATTTTTAGGTAATTTAGAGATTTTATAAAAATAAATTTATTTTGTAATGATTTTATAAAATGTAGACATTATTTTATGTTTGGTTACAATAAAAAAAGTAATTATTAGTTAATTATTTTTAAATTTTATAGTATCTTTCTTGATTTTTGTTTTATAAAATAATTTATTATTATATTATTTTAAAATTTTATGATATTTTCATGTATCCCATCTATTTTAAACACTCTCTCTCTCATCTACCATATTAAATTATTTTCAAAAGTCACTTAGAATACTTTTTTAAAATAATCAAAAATCTACTTTTTTTATTTTTGATTATTTTTAAAAGTTTAAAGAAACATTATAAAAACTCATAAAATAAATTTTTTTCAAAAAAATAAGTGATTTTTTCATGAAATAAGCTAAAACAAATGAGCTCTTAGTGTCAATATATATATATATATATACTCTTTAAACCATGTTAGTGAGAACATATTCTATTATGTTTTAATTTGATTGTAGAACTTAAGCAACATACCCATTTTTTAATTATAAAGGATATGACATCGTGATGGTATATGAAGATTTATTCTTGAAATCAAGTGATGTAAGTTGTTACAAATTCAAAAGCATGTTGAGTTTCGGGAGAGTGTTAAGATATTATCTTTTGTGTTTGTTATTTGTTGAGATTTATATTTTGTTGAGATATAAGGAATATTTTGTATTCATTAAATATTATTAAGATATTCATTAGTTATTATTAAGTTCTTTTATGTATTGTAACTTGTAAGCCTTTCATGTAATAGGGTATGTCATTTTTTTCAGTCTTCTTTACTTCTCTTTTGACTTCCTTCATGATATTAGAGCTTAGTTAATCAAGTTTTGATGGTTTGTCTGAATTAGAGTTCTATATTGCAAAGCTTTAGCCCTCCCTCTCTCTTTTCTGAAGCAGTTTTCTTAGCCTTTTAGGTTGTAAAGGCTTTTGCTATTAATTCAGTCCGTTTTCTATTGATTTAATTTTCCTTAGAAATCCTAGGTAAGTGTTTACGATGAAGTATTTATTGATTTAAGATAAGATCATAAGATTGCAATGTGTTCTCTCAATGCATCACTCCACCATGTGGCTATGTGTGGTCTTACTATCTCCACATTGAACGAGGTGATTTGGGTCTTCCCATTTCATTTCTAAGTATAATAGGTATAATATATAAATCATCCTAATAATAATTAATGAATACAAAATATGTCTTAAATCTCAATAGAAGAAATCTTATTAGATAACAAACACAACCCAATAAATCTCCATAAATAATATATCTTAACACTCCTCCAAACTCAAGATGCTCTCAAGTTTATATCAACTTGTATTGTTTAATTTGAAAAATAAACCTCACTACATCATAACACTCCCCCATATATCCTTAAGTTTGTAACTTGTAAGGGCTTGTATCACTTGATATGAAGAATGTATGACAAAGAGAGGTTTTAAAGAGAGCAAATATAAACTTGAGGTTATTCTCTTATGCATGAATCATAAATCATCACTAAACAAAAAAATTAGAGTAGTTCTTGGAGGAACAAATCACTATACGAGAAAACTAGGGAATGATTCTCAGAGGAACAAATCACTATGCAAGATGCTCAGGAAAACTCAAGAGTGATTCTCAAAGCCATAAATCACTAGGCGGGAAACCCGAGTGATTCTCTGAGGCACGAATCATTGGGCAGGAAACTCGAAAGTAATTCTCAGAGAGATGAATTATTTGCTAGGAAACTTAGGAGTGATTCTCAAATGAATGAATTATTAAGTAGAAAAACTCAAGGAAACTCGAGAGTGATTCTCAAAGGGATAAATCACTGGGCAAAATTTCAAATTGAACTATGAAAATACTAAAAGCAAAATAAAGAGTGAAGGCCAGAGATTTTAGCCTGAACAAACTGTCAAAACTTGATTAACCTAGCTTTAGTATCATGAAAGAAGTTATGAGAGAAAGAGATAAAGACTTGAAAAAAATGTCATACTTTATTGATATGAAGAGCTTATAATATATAAATCATCCTAATAATAACTAATTAATATCTTAATATTATCTAATGAGTAACACTCGGGGTGATCCTCTAGAAAATAAGTTAGGAGAGAAGGAAATGAGACAGGAAAAAGTACTGTACTTTATTAGTACAAAGAGCTTATAATATATAGAATGTCCTAATAATAACTAATGCATATCCTAATAATATTTAATGAATACAAAATAATTTTAAATTTCAATAAATCTCGACAAATAACAAATATTAACACAATAAATCTTCAAAGATGATATATCTAACAATCCTCCTCAAACTCAAGATACTATAAAATTTGTAAAAGCTTTTATTGCTTGATCTAAAAAATGTATAATAGAGAGAGACTTCAAAGAGAGCACATATAAACTCAAGATGATTCTCCTATGCATGAACATAAATCATCACTAAATGAACGAAAAAAAAAACTCAAAATAAATCCCCACATAAAAAACTCAAGAGTGATTTTTGAAAGGATAAATCACTGGATAAGAAAACTAAAGAGTGATTCTTAGAGAGATAAATCACGAGAAAGAAAACTCATGAATGATTTAAAATGAATCACTTAGTAAAAAATTCAAAAATGATTCTCAAAAAAATAAATTATAAAAAAATAAAAATAGACAGCTAGAGTTTTAATATACAAAACAAAGCTCCAGCCACCAAGCTCTATACCATAAAAGAAATCCAGAGATAAATCAAGGAAATTGGAAACAATATATTATCTTTTGCAATTTATTGTGTTAAGATTATCTATTAAGATTCATTCTTTTGAAATTTAAAGAATATTTTATATTTATTAAATATTATTATGATATTAATTAGTTATTATTAGAATGATTTATATATTGTATTCTTTTTCCAAGTCTTCATCTCTTTCTGTCCTGACTTCTCTCGGACATGACATTACAAAAGAAAGAGAATAAGAGCATTATACTGATCAATAGGTCAGCTAATAGCATATTTGGCCAATAAAAAGAAAAAACGATGTAACAGTGGCATCGCACTCGAGGTCTTTTACAAATTACTCGAGATCTTCGCTCCCTTCCTCCCCACAACCTAATCCGCAACGCTTCTATAATCTATATAGAGATAAAACAATAAATACTTGAAAACGCGCACATGCACATATATATATATATATATATATATGCCCTTGTAGACATCAATGGTATATTGATTATAGGATATTAATTCCTGTACATTCACTCATGAAGTAAAATGGAAGTGTCCTTTCAAATCATGGCTCTTCTTCCGGACCAAGCCAACGAAAATTGAGGATTGATCTACACTTCAAGCAGAATTCTGGCTACTTGTCATGAAGCCAAGTCCCTCTGCTATGCTGATCAGCCCCGCACAGTAAATGGGGTCAGACAAGAACTTCGAGAAGGGTCCCGTTTGTTCATGAAACGGCTACAACTTCAGTATCATCTCTTGAGGCCCTCATGTCTAAAATTCAAAAAATTGGATGTTAATTAGGAAGTCAAAGGAGGCCTTTGCTGACGTTTTCTCTTTGATTTCAGATCAATAACTATGATCGAAATATTGTCTTTACTATTTCTACCACATGCAATCTCTGTAAGGCTATCAGCCACAATTTGGGCAGGTGAAGTTTCTTCCGTGGACAAGGACCTTCGACGTCGTCTCAGAATATGGCGTGCAACTTCCCCGACCTCTGCATTCGTCATTACATCCCAAAGCCCATCACTTGCCAATATTATGCATTCGTCGTCCTCGCTTCTCGTTGTGAAAGTGGTCTCAGGCACAGGAATAATCCATGGCCTCAAATACCGATCACCTGAAACATTAACCAGTAAGCAGTTCCAGTGAAAAGGGAAAAAAAAAAAAAAAACCAGTCAATCATTTCGTTTCCCAGATATCCAGACGCTAGTAATTCAACTTTGAACATGCTTTCCAGCAGCTCGCAGAACACCTTTCACTGTAAAACACTTGAATCTTGGCATGTATTCAAACAGTTTTACGCATTTGTGTTGCTTCTTTATAAATGGATAGTGTAAATTTACTAGTATCGCTCCAGTCTTTACAAGCCATTTTGGTTCCCAACCATAATAGAAAAAGCTACTTAGTTACTACGACCCCCATCTGTTTGATGTCTGCCCTCATTGAAAGATTCCTACAATAACTGATTAAGAAACAAAATGTGGAAGAGAAAGCGGAATAACCCACCTTGGCTGTGTGCTCGCTTCTTTCTAGTAGAAGGTAACTAAAACGGTTAGGTTGTTCCAGTCAAATGGAAAGTGAACAAAGTGTACTTAAATCTATAAATTGCGGGGCAAGCCTCTCGCGATCTAATTTTCAGGCACCAAAAGATTTTAGTGACAAGAAACTAGGAACATTTTCCTGCATCAGTAGGTTAGGGACAAAAATAAGAATCAGAAATAAAAGATAGCCTTATGAAGTTTTCCCAATACCGACCACACATAACTCTAGAATATTGAGGTCCAACCTACCCGGCTTCAGCTCCACGTAATATATAAAAATGTCATAGGTTTGATTTCTTAGTCAGAACAGACTAGCTTTCTGTTATATGCAGCAGCACACAGATATTCTGAATATCCTCCGCAGTAAGGAATTTTACGGACACATCAAATCATGAACAGAATGCAGAAACCACAACAAACCAGTAATTGAAGACTACTTGGCAAAATAAATAAACAAGACAATGCTAAAATGTCAGGCAGAAAAAGAAAAACTAACATAGCAAATCAAATGGCTAAAGCTACCCATGCATGCTTGGGGATCATACATGGAACGAAGGTAATTTTCTGTAAATTCATGCTTGTTCTTCTCTCGTGATGAGTTTTCCCCTTCCTCTTCTCAAAGACTTTTCTCACCTATCCCTCTCCTTCACCCCCTCATTCTCATTGTGACAACATTCATTTACTATTAAATTAGCTTTTCAAAAGTTGTTTCCTGTATTAGGCCAAGAAAAAAAGTTGTTTAGGTCTCCCCTTTTCACTCCAATCTATCTCCCTTCAACAAGGTAATCCATACAATGCATGAAAGTTACCAAACGGACAAACACATGCTTTTAACAACTGCTGAAAATTCATGCCACATATTAGTAGTTACCATAATAATGTTTATAAGACATAAACCACTTTGACTTTTGAGAACGATCTTTTTTAGCCCAGGCATCAAGAATATTTAATGCTGCTTACATACCTGACAAGTGTATACAAGCCAGACAAAGCATTTCTTAAATTATTTTCAAAGGAATGAGACGTCCTAATCAACAGGTCAGCAGGAGGAAATTTGACACAAATTGACCTGTGACTGGATATAGAGAGAAGAAATCAACGTACCTATGGCCCTGGACATGGCAAGAACTCCAAACACCCTAGCTCCATTCCAGTTTATGACTTTTCCTCCTCCTCCTTCAATTCTCAATAGTTCATCTTGTCTGTCAGGCTGTACAAGCAAGGGTAATTGTATCTTAATTTTTGTTCATAAAACAATATATAAATGTACTTAAGTAAAAGAATACAAGGGGGAATCACATCCAAGGCCCCTCAAAAAAAATTATTTACAGACAAGGACCAATACAGAATGGATTGTTAAAATGGGAATGTGACTTTTTTTTTTTTTCCAAACAGGACTTGTTATTAGTCCTTGTTTGTAAATAATTTCCTTAAGGGGTCCTTGAATGTGATTCTCCCAAGATACAATGTCTAATGGCTGCGAATGGGAAAGATGGGTCCTTCATTTTCTTTTTACCCCTTCATCAGTTGCAAGTATCTCAAAATAAAGTCACACATGCAAAATCTCTATCTTCTAATTCACATAAACACATGAATAAACAAAAAAGATAGTAGACCAGAGCATATGTAACCAAATGTGTGTGTGCATGTCAACATATAGTAAAGAATGGGCCAAAATAGGATTTCAGAAGACCTTCTGATCCACGGTCAAGGGAATCGTTTGTGTGCCGCGGCAAAGAACTGCCCTCGAGTCGCCACAGTTAGATGTAATGATTTGGCAACGAGATAGAACCACCACAGCAGCAGTAGATCCTACCATTTCAGGTGCGACTGCATCTGTTAAGATTTCATTGTCGGCTTTCTCAAAGCCACTGGAAAAAACGGCCTCCCACCTTCCCTTCCATTCAGTACCCTGAGCTATGTCTCGATCCCACTCTTCAGCTATAGCTTCATGCATCCGTTTGGCACAAAACTTGGCCACCTGGGATTGAATTTCCACCGAAGTTAAGAGAGTGATCATCTACTTATGACATAATATTACCTCTTTTTTGTAAGGCAAGATATCTTCTACATGTTCCAAATTGTGGAGGTCAGATTTTACTAACATGAGACAAAGTCATTGAAGAAGACTAGAAACTGAATGTAGTAAGCCAAATAAAGAAATGGCGGCCCTTTTCAACAAAACCTCATAAACTTTGAAACATGAAACGCCTACCATGGATTCAAAACACTGTTGAAGAATCATTCAAAACCAAACAAACTGGTAAGTAAAAACAAATTAGTAGTCACATATTTGACATTACCAGCACACCACAATTCATGAAATATCTTTTACCTAGATCTTCATAAAGGCACTTGTCAGCCTTACATGATAGGATATTGTTCCTTTGTTTGGTAACAAGGATTCTTAGGCAGATTTACTGTTCCGTTTAATTTAATGGATTCCAACTATGATATTCGGTTTATTATTTAAACTTTAGACTTTCGATTTAGATACCACACGTCAACTGTACCTACCCTCTTCGTAACGTAATTAGGCCCCGTTCATCTCGTGATTCACACAAAAAGTTGAAAGAAAGGACCTCTAACAGTTGTATATGTAAAGACTTTTCAAAAAATATAGAGAGTAATTTCTTTACCAGACGGAGCCACGCGGCAACCACTGATCACCAAGTATTGTACGTTGTACCCAAGACGAGACGCTGATATATGTATATGTTTTTTAGAGAGCACAATGATCATTATTTTATATATGAGCATAGAAGTGATTTCATTTAAATGTTTATGTAACAAAAGAATGGGGAATGTGGCGTAAGCTTTTCCGTGTAGACGTGGATGTAGATGAGCTGAGCGGCCCTAAACAAAGAAAAGTTCAGAATAAAGTGGGGATGAGGACCAAAACATACCAACTATTATCCTCTAAGGCTCTAAGTTGGAAACGTGGCGCCAATGCACACAGTGAACAATTGGTCCCACCTCCTCCTACATACTACTGTTATTATCTGCCTTTTTCCTTCAACAATAAAGGGATTCCTCTCTCTACGTGGCTCTTCCAGTTCCGACGGTTAAGATTTCACACCCCTCACAAAAACTCTATTTTGCAAATTACGACAATTTTTTCATGAAATTTAAAACTCTTCCATACGAACCACACAAGTAAAACATAGCGGGCTGAAATAATAATATCTACTTTATACAAGAACAAAAATAATATTTATTTTATGGAAACGGTGTTGTCAATGCACTGCCATTTGTATCAATATTATATACCAAAAAATTCTAGAAAGGTGGCCAGATGGACAGTAATGGTTAGCCAGAAACCAGTGTGAGAGTCGGTGACGTTAGAGAATATATCAATTAAAGCAAGCAGTAAGACCGTAAGATCAAGAGAAGCGAAGCGAGGCAAACAAACAAAGGGGCGCTCGAATGACCCAAGACGAAAAGTATTTGTACGGTCATTGTTACACGTGGCGGGATGTGAAACAGAACGCGCCATGGATTTTCTCTCTGGTGGACCACTCTTTGCATACCACGTGGTCTTCCTAAGCAATCATCTCATTCCAGCGTTTAATCTGAGAAAAAAATACTCTGCTAATGAGTTTAATTAAATTTATTGTTAAGCAGATGAAATAGGCAACAACATCCTCTCCGATCATTTCTGTTCGCGATGAAAAATATGCAGAATGCGGTAGGTACTCCTCCGGTCTACCCTCCACTCTATATAGCTAGTCACAAATGGGAGCAAGTTCTTTCAAATATTTTTTAAAATAGTAAAACGGAAGTAGTATTAATATTAAACGAAAACATATCAATAAATTCTAGCACTAGCACAGAAGAATGCTGAGTGAGGAAGTAGATGGTTTGTACCTGAGATCCACCGTGGCCGTCGAAAACGCCGAAGAAATGAACCGGCGAGATCTCACTGGAGGATTTCGAGCAAGGAGCCGTACATCCGCCGACGTGATCGCACGGGAGGGACATAAACCCTGGGATAACAGCAATAGCGTCCTCCATCTCTTTCCTCCTCCCAATCACCGACGTAAATCCCCAACTGATTCCCTTGTTATTCCTTCCGACGCACTTGTCCCTCTTGGCGCTCATCTCTTCGGACGGAGGGGGATCCAGCGAGGGAGACGAGGGCAGGGCCTCGGAGATCGCAACCACCGGAATGTCGCCGGAGCCAGAGCTGACGGTGGAAATGTCGCCGGAGCCGGAGGTGCTGCGGGAATATTCGGAACGGAGGACTAAGGGGAAGGTGGAAGCGGAAGAGGAAGTAGAGAAGGGGGAGTCGGAGTCGACTCGTTCAAGTTGGAAGTCGTCCAAGTCCAAGTGCAAGGGTTGTTCCATGATGTGAGCGAAGGAGAGGAGGACAGGGAGCCGGGGGTGAAAGCAGCGATAAAAGAAGAAGAAAAGACAGGTAAGAATAGGACACGTGTAATAAGATATTACTCTACGGCACACGCATCCGGAGTGAAACCGGAAACATGATTTTGATTTGGAGCTCTAGTTTTTAACTGCGTTTTTCTCTCACTCGTTTATTTTTTATTTAAACAAATTAATCATCATATTTTAAAATTTTAATTAAATTATAACTCAACTTTTAAACTTTAAATTTATATAAATTAATTTTTTTAATTTTTATTAGATTATAATTCAGCTCCTTAATTTTAATTTTTATTACTAAATTCATATAATTTTAATCATTTAAATATTAATTTTTATATTTAAAAAAAATTATAAAGATTAAAATTATATTAAAATTTATGACTAATATTTTAAATTATTAAAATTTTTTAGTCTTTATAATAAAAATTAAAATTTTAAAATAGTTTGAATCTTTATAATTTTATTTTTTTACTATAAAAATTAATTTTTAAATGATTAGAATTATAAGAATTGGGTTGCAAAAATTAAAACTATAAGAACCAAGTTATAACATGTTAAAGTATAAAAATTAAGTTATAATTTGATCAAAATTATAAAGATCAAATAATTAATTTTTTTATTATCTTTTTTATACAATTGACTCTTTTGCTTCCATCAACAAAAAATTAAAGGAGACTTATACACAAGATGGACACAATATATTAAAATATTATAAGGTCTATTGATAACCTAATAAAGAAAAATAATATATTTTTTTTTTGTTAAATTGTCAATTAATCTTGTAATATTTAATTATGCTACGTGAGATTTTAAAATAATTTTCTTCAAAACTCTTCTCCCTCAACTCAACTCAAGAGCTTTTATTCCTCCAATTGATTGATTCCAAAATACACTGATTTAAGTGAGAGAGTAATATTTAGGAACTAAAATATTAAAATGAGGATAGTCCGTGGGCAAATTTTTTTAACAAAAAATAGTTGTAAATATGGGTGGATTAAATAATTATTATGAACAATGCAGTTGGCCAAAAGAAATAATTACAAACAAGAAACTGATATATAATTTGAGATTAATATTTAAAACATAACAATTTTATCTGTAATTGTATTTCTTGAATTTTCAATTATCTGAATTAATATTTTAAAATTATTTCGTGGAAAACTTCATTAGAGATATAATTATTATTAATTTAACTTTCTCAGACCTAGATGTCACTCTCCCTCTTTAAGCCATACACACGGACACACCCATACTTATAAATGATATGTATTTTTATAAATTTTATGTTGTCTATATTGTTGGAGATTAAAAAAAAGTATTAGAATTAAATTTGAAAATGTACAAAATTTATTCTAATTTAATAAATTGCGTCATTTATATAAGTAATTTGAAATTTGACAATCAGTCTTTTAAAATTCAGCTTCAGTGTAGATTCATCCCAAAAAAAAAAAAAAAAATCTGATAGAGTTGCAGACTTGCAGTGAATAATTTTTTTTTTAAATTTCTGAGCTTGGAATAAAAAGTTGTGCTCTCTAAATGGACGGGGTTTTATTCAATAGAGCTAATACTTGATTTAGGTTATTTTTGCAATGAGCAGCCAAAAAAAAAAATCAGATTATTTGGGGAAAGCGAGTTATTCGGTTTAGTGATGTAGCGAAATGCTCCCTCGACAAGAGCATGTTGATCACACTTCTGGTGCCGCATCTCCACGTGTCTTGCTAAACTCTGGCTTCCACAGGTGGACGTTCCTCTCTTTGGCGTGGACGTTGCGTCAGTGCATAACGCTCCTGTTCTCAGCACTTTCATAACTATACTGGCTGTTCTTTCGCCAACAAAAATACGGCCTGTCCAATATAAAAGTATATATTGCTTTTTACCTAGGGGGAAAAAATAGTAACTTTAAAAATCATATCGAAAATACAAATTGATTCACATTAAAAATTACGGAAACACAGGCTTTAACATATGTTTTACTGTCAAGCAATGGAGGGATATAAAGTTGTGATATCATGAAACAAGCACATTTTAAAATAATTAACTTAGTATTTTTTATAAAGGGTCTTGTATCAAGCATATATAAAACTCCGAGGCCGTAAAGAGTGGCATAGTAAATAGGATTGGATTATTTTGTCTAAAAATAGACACTTGTTTTGGATTGTTGATAAGCAAATGGTGGTCCAAGTATCCTTGTTATGACCACAAACGGTTCTGTTTACAGTTTGTCCATTGATCATGTCCATATATATGCCTGTGTTAATAATCACAGGTCTCTCCAGACATTGCTATTTCGCATGCCCTCAAACGCCATAACATAACAGCATCACTTGTCATGTTTAGAAGTTATTTCAGGCTCGGCATTGACATGCTTGTGTAAGTGTGTTTTTAATTATTCGATCATGTAAAAAAAATATATATATACTAGGTAATAGCTACCAGCTTTGGAAGAAATCCTCTGTTGCTTGTCAGTTTGGAGACCAGGACTGGCTGGACTTATAGTGGACTTAATTAAATTCGCATTTAGCCTGGTGTGTGTGTGTGTGTGTGTATTTTATATGCTTGTTAACGTCGAAGCTTCCATGGCTGTCTCAAGCATTGTAAAACGTCGGAATAAATATACCTACGAAAAGTATGCAACTTCTTGAAGATCCAGCACGTAACAAGACGGGCTATGAAATTTAAGGAAGAGAAGGGAGGAGGGATGGAGTGAATGAGTATGACTAATGACGTGACGTGAGGAAGTTATTATACGTAAACTTGCCCCGAAAACAAAACACGTCGGTTCCGGGCCGGAACTAGTTTCAGGGTACGATGAGCACGGACAGCTCATTATTTGTAGACTGTTCACTGTTCAGATATAATTTAAATTATTCAGGCTTAAATTTTTTTTAGAAAAATTATTTTAATTTATACAGAATACAAAATAAAAATAATTTTTTAACTGTCAGCTTTTCAAAAAAAATTATTTAAAAAATATCAATTAAAAAAAACTGTAAATCTGAACAATAAACTCTCAATTTTTACTTATATGTTGACTGTTGAGCAATGAAATTGGTTTCGGGCGGTTTGGCGGTGTTTCTCGGTAATGAGCCAAAAGGAGACACGTAAAGAGCAGAGGGGGCCCACTGACTAGAAGGAAATTGCAATCAAGTCGTAAATCAAAATCATCACGGTAATGACCTCTGATTTGAACATGTGCAGGTTTGCTGGAAACCCGGTGGGTAAATGGACGGCCATGATGGGGCAGGGAGGGTTACTTGGCAGAACGGAGATGCGGATGAATCGATGATGCACCGCAAAAAATAGTACGGCCACCATAGTCCATGCCGGCCCACACGTCGTAGAAGGAGAAGCAAGACGAGAAAATGGACGCGTACCTAACTGCTTTAGGTTGGATTCCATCCGATCAAATCGGTATCAGCAAGGTGTCGGTTATTCCTGCTGGTCTATTATACACCAATCCACGAGTATCGGGTTAACACATGACATGATAACCAATATTTTCAAAGCCAAACTAGATATTAAATAGAAAAAATTTACAGTCTGATTTAATTAAGTTAAATTAATAATTAAAGTGATTATATAATAATTAAATTAAAAAAATTATATATGTATATAATAAAATAATTTATTATTTTCTAAAAAAACTGATAAAAGAATAAAAAGATATTTTTTGAGTAGCCTGATTTTTGACTTAATTTTAATCCACTATTGATTCAAAACAATTCAATTCAGCTTAATTTTGTAAGTAGTTTTTTTTTTTTTTTCTTGACCGAACTATCCATCTGATCGGTTGACTGTCCAACCATCTGGATCCAGTTGATTTTTTTAATCATCCATGATAACATCATGACCCTCCAGGTCAGAGTCCCTCGCTCGTCAGTCTCCCCTTGCCCCTTGGTAGGTCATGCCAAAGGGAATGACAACTGAAATTTACCCCCCAAAAAAAAAACAGCTAAAAAATTATCAATCGCTTATCCTATCTTACTATATTTATTTAATCAATTGGAGTGGCTGATTTAAAAGACTAAAATATGAATAATTTATATCTGCTGACTTCTGTCTCTCCGAAAAAGCATGGCTGTGGAATTAATGATAAATTCATCCCAACAATTTATTTTTCTGTTTTTATTTATAAATAAATTTTAATATATTTTATTATAATTAAGAAAAAATTTAAAAATTATTAACAGTTTTCTAAAAATTTAACAAATTTTTAACTTTATTCTTATTAAATATATATATATATATTTTCAATAATATACTTTTTCTTAACATTGTTTAATGAAGAGAAAAGAGATAAATTCTGATAAAAAGTTAAACCATAGCTGATAAATAGGATAAATAAATTATTTTCTTCCTACCTTGTTATAACACCAGGGAGTATATTTTTGAAACCTCGCGAACAGAAATTTCTCGATTTACTAGTTCCTCAATATTAGTTATCAAATCAGTTGTCACATATTGAAACCTTCATCATGTTAGGTCCAACATTCAAAAAGTTAAAGCACTAGTGTGATGTGAATTTATCAAACACATACACACTAACTATGATAGCATTATTGAATATCATGTCAGTAAAACTCCATTTTTCATCCCTGCCCCCCATATGGCCATGTCGACGACTTTGTACATGACATTATCGCGAACCTTTGCTTTCTATCTCTTCTTTTCACGGAGTCAAAATTGTGCGTGCGAGAGAGTTTATTAATTTCATAATGAGATTCTACAAGTTACTTACAAGTTATAACCCTCCGTCCATCAAAGTGCTGCAGTGTCTGTAAAGAATATTCTAAAGGTGAACTATTTAAACTGAAAATGACTTGGCATAATCAACAAGTTTGAACAATTACTAAGTCCTTTGAAAACTAGGGATCAAAGATTCAAAGAGTCACAACACTGCTTTATTTACGCACCCTCTTTGTGGTGATCATCCTTCGTGACCTGTAAATTAAATAATCTGAGTTGTCAGCATCATGGGGACGAAATTACTG